GGCGGCGGCAGAGCGGCGGCGGCACAGCGGAGGAAGGCGGAGGAGGCCGCAAGCCCACACTCGCAGGCAGAAGGCAACACGAACAGAATAGGCGAGGGTCCAGGAGCCCGCTCCTCGCGATTTTCCTGCCCCAGAAATCAGAGATGTTGGGCTCACGAAAGAAATGGGCGGTCGGCCGTCGTCTGGGTCTCCCAGGGTAGGCTCTGGCTGGCCGTGGCCATGACGACCCCCACAAACACCCCCAACACGCAACCCTCCTCGATCCTCGCTCTTCCCCTCCCATCCGACGTCACTGGGGAAGCCAAAGAAGCAGCTCCCAGAGCCAGGTCAGCGGCAGGCGGGGAGGAGGGTCGGCCCCGCAGCGCCCCCAAACCCAGGTTGGCCGCTGGCAGGCGGTCGGAAGGGACTGACTGACGGACCCCCGTCAGCAACGACCCCCGCTGCGCGTGCCCCGACAAGGGATCTCCGCCCCTTCCCCGGGCCCGGCCTTTCCTGCGGAGTCGTCTGTGGACGGTCCAAGTGATGGGACCGTTTTCCACCACCACCACCACCCTAAGCTGGAGGGGGAGGGGACCCTCCTCCTCCTCCTCCTCCTCCTCCTCCCCCTCCTCCTCCTCCTCCTCGTCCTCCTCCTCCTCCTCCTCCTCCTCCTCCTCGTCCTCCTCCTCCTCGTCCTCCTCCTCCTCCTCCTCCTCCTCCTCCCTCCTCCTCCTCCTCCTCCTCTCCTCCTCCCCTCTCCAGCTCATGGTGGCGGTGGTGGAAAAGAGCAGGCCGACCACAGCGAGCACTTGCCGTCGCAACCTCCGTCGGCGCCCGAGCCCGCAGGCCCCTGCCACGCGAGCGGAGAGGAGGAGGAGGAGGAGGAGGAGGAGAAGGAGGAGGAGGAGGAGGAGGAGAGGAGGAGGAGGAGGAGGAGGAGGAGAGGAGGAGGAGGAGGAGGAGGAGGAGGAGGAGGAGGAGGAGGAGGGGGGGGGGAGCCACCAGGACCTCGCCGCGGGTCCAGCAGCGGCGGCGAGAGCTCCCCGAGAGCCCGAGAGGCCTGGGCGAACAGCTGCGCCCAAAAGCCCCAGGCACCCGATGCTTTGTTGGACGCCCGAGTTATCCGGGGTAACTCGGGTCCGGGGTAACTCGGGTTTGGGTTCCCGAAAAACGAACCCGAGTTAGCCCTGACCCGAGTTACCCCTGATGATTCGGGGCTCTGGACGCCCGAAATATCCGGGGTAACTCGGGTCCGGGATAACTCGGGTTGGGACTCCCGAGCAACGAACCCGAGTTAGCCCTGACCCGAGTTACCCCGGATAATTCGGGGCTCTGACTTTGGCTTCGTCGGTACGGGGTCCCCGGGAGCTGCGACCCCCTGGCTTTCCACCGCGAGTCGTTTTGTTGACGGCCCTGGGGCCCGCCGAAGGCCCCCGTGGGCCGCGCACGGTCAAAACCATCCCGTCGTGATGTTTTTTGTTGCCACGGCCTCCGAGCATGTCTGGGCCCGATCCTCGCAGCCGCACGCAGGTACGAGAATTACCCTGGCGACGTACCCAACCCCTGCGCAATGCGGGGTACTAGTAGCCTGGGAAACGTTCTACAGAGGTGAGGACGTGACATGGGTGCATGTATAATTCTGCGAACGGCATTCGCGAGGCTCGCAGCCCCCCAGGGATGGCGAGGTCGGGCTCAGATTTGCGTGGTGCCTCACTCCGCTGGACCCGCCAGCAGCCGTCGCAGATCGCAGCCCCCCAGGGACAGCGAGGTCTACCTCAGATCCCCGCGGTGCCTCAGTCCGCGGGACCCACCAGCAGCCCTCGAAAGTGGCGACAGTGTCGCAGATCGCAGCCCCCCAGGGACGGCGAGATCTCGCTCAGATCCCCGCGGTCCTAGTCCCAGTACCCACCACAGCCCTCAAGCGACAGTGTCGCAGATCGCAGCCCCAACAGCGAGCTACCTCAGATCCCCGCGGTGCCCCAGTCCGCGGACCCACCAGCAGCCCTCGAAAGTGGCGACAGTGTCGCAGATCGCAGCCCCCCAGGGACGGCGAGGTCTCGCTCAGATCCCCGCGGTGCCTAGTCCGCAGGACCCACCAGCAGCCCTCGAAAGTGGCGACAGTGTCGCAGATCGCAGCCCCCCAGGGACGGCGAGGTCTCGCTCAGATCCCCGCGGTGCCTCAGTCCGCGGGACCCACCAGCAGCCCTCGAAAGTGGCGACAGTGTCGCAGATCGCAGCCCCCCAGGGACGGCGAGGTCTCGCTCAGATCCCAGCGGTGCCTCAGTCCGCAGTACCCACCAGCAGCCCTCGAAAGTGGCGACAGTGTCGCAGATCGCAGCCCCCCAGGGACAGCGAGGTCTACCTCAGATCCCCGCGGTGCCTCAGTCCGCGGGACCCACCAGCAGCCCTCGAAAGTGGCGACAGTGTCGCAGATCGCAGCCCCCCAGGGACGGCGAGATCTCGCTCAGATCCCCGCGGTGCCTAGTCCGCAGTACCCACCAGCAGCCCTCGAAAGTGGCGACAGTGTCGCAGATCGCAGCCCCCCAGGGACAGCGAGGTCTACCTCAGATCCCCGCGGTGCCTCAGTCGCGAGGCAGCCCACCAGCAGCCCTCGCAGCCCTCGAAGTGGCGACAGTGTCGCAGATCGCAGCCCCCCAGGGACGGCGAGATCTCGCTCAGATCCCCGCGGTGCCTCAGTCCGCAAACCCACCAGCAGCCCTCGAAAGTGGCGACAGTGTCGCAGATCGCAGCCCCCAGGGACGGCGAGGTCTCCTCAGATCCCCGCGGTGCCTCAGTCCGCGGACCCACCAGCAGCCCTCGAAAGTGGCGACTCGCAGATCGCAGCCCCCCAGGGACGGCGAGATCTCGCTCAGATCCCCGCGGTGCCTAGTCCGCAGTACCCACCAGCAGCCCTCGAAAGTGGCGACAGTGTCGCAGATCGCAGCCCCCCAGGGACAGCGAGGTCTACCTCAGATCCCCGCGGTGCCTCAGTCCGAGGGACCCACCAGCAGCCCTCGAAAGTGGCGACAGTGTCGCAGATCGCAGCCCCCCAGGGACGGCGAGGTCTACCTCAGATCCCCGCGGTGCCTCAGTCCGCAGGACCCACCAGCAGCCCTCGAAAGTGGCGACAGTGTCGCAGATCGCAGCCCCCAGGGACGGCGAGGTCTCCTCAGATCCCCGCGGTGCCTCAGTCCGCAGGACCCACCAGCAGCCCTCGAAAATGGCGACAGTGTCGCAGATCGCAGCCCCCCAGGGACGGCGAGGTCTCGCTCAGATCCCCGCGGTGCCTCAGTCCGCAGGACCCACCAGCAGCCCTCGAAAGTGGCGACAGTGTCGCAGATCGCAGCCCCCCAGGGACGGCGAGGTCTCGCTCAGATCCCCGCGTGCCTCAGTCCGCGGGACCCACCAGCAGCCCTCGAAAGTGGCGACAGTGTCGCAGATCGACAGCGCCGCAGCCCCCCAGGGACGGCGAGGTCTACCTCAGACCCCCGCGGTGCCTCAGTCCGCGGGACCCACCAGCAGCCCTCGAAAGTGGCGACAGTGTCGCAGATCGTAGCCCCCCAGGGACGGCGAGGTCTACCTCAGACCCCCGCGGTGCCTCAGTCCACAGGACCCACCAGCAGCCCTCGAAAGTGGCGAGAGTGTCGCAGATCGCAGCCCCCCATGGACGGCGCACACACACACACACAAACACACACACACACACACACACACACACACACACACACACACAACACACACACACACACACACACACACACGCTCACGCTCACGCTCACGCACACACTCACACACACACAGAGACACACACACACATACACACACACACACACACACACACACAAACACACACACACACACACGCACACACGCACACACGCGCACACACACACAGAGAGGTACGCACAAGACAAGAGGAGACAAGACGGAAGCGGGACGCGGGAGGCGGAAGAAGAAGGAGAAGGACACGACCACAGAGCTCTATTCAAAACGAATACCAAACCAAATGAGGGTTGGGAATAACACGGGCGCGATGCCGAACAGAAGACAGCGTCCAAGACCGAAAGTGGCCGCTGGCGGCCGCCGCTGGGCATATGCGATGAGCGTCTCGAAAACCGACAGCGCCCGCGGCGGCACAGACAAAGAATCCGGTGCAACATGGACTGGAACTGCTGCCTCCCTACCCCTTTTTTCATCACGAGCGGCAGACGTCTCCGGACCCGCGCCCGCGCGGTCTGGATCCCAGGGCGCGATCCCGCGGCTGCGCGGTCGCACGGATCCGCTCCGCGCGGGGCATCCGCGGACTAATCGATCCGCATCCGCGGGGTCGCGGCCCAGGGGCCCGGCCCGCGGGGCCACTCTCTGTCTCTACCCCTTTCCGTCGTACACCGACCCAGACACGCGGCGCCCTGATTTTTGTCAGGACTAGGGGGAAAACAAACCTACCTCGCTTTTGACCACCCTCGCTTCCAAGAGATACCAAGCGATGCCAAACTACGGCCTGTACTGGCCAGGTCGCTTGACGAGGAGGCGCGTGGTATGACTTGGTTTTGCCTGGAAGCGAAAGCGGGGTAGGTAATTCACGCTCTGAAGGACGGCGTCCCTGGAAGTCCAGGCCATTTCCACAGGGCCGGGTTTCCGTCCCGCGATTCGTTTTTTGAGACGGCCCTGGGGCCTGGCGAGGGCCCTGCAGTGCCGAAAATAACGGAAAACCGCCCGCCCTGATTTCTTCACGACGCGATTATGTCTGTGGATCGATCCCGAGCGCCCTCCTCCGGTGAGAGCAACATGTACCCGCTACTCCCCGGACCTCTCCCGGGGTGCGTTCTGACCAGAATCTCGAGGCGAATCCAGCGGTGGTGACGAGGGCCGCCCAGGAGGCCCAAAAAAGGGAAAACGAGGGAAGGGTACCTTTTCCTCCTCTCGTCCTTTTCCTCCTCTGCTATGGGCACCTCTTCTGGTGGAAGGGTAGAGCTATGGGTACCTCTCCCTCCTCTGGCCCTCCTGGGGACAGCCGCCGCCTTCTTGTCCACCGGCACCTTCGCGGCCCGCAGCTTCTCGAGCAGCGGGTTGCCCACGCGATCCTGGGCGCTCGCGGCCGCGCGCGGCCTTCGCCCCCGCTCCCTCCGCGCGCGCGGGGGCCCCGCCGCCGCCGCCGCCGGGGCCGCCGACCCTGAGATCCTGGCGACTCGATGCTTTTCGAGCCGGGCGTTCTCGCTCCGTTTCGGGCCCCGGGGCCCTCACGGATCGATCCGGCTCGAAGCATGGCGCAGAAAGGTAGGGTCTATAGGGCTTCAGGCTCGCTTTCCCACGGCGTCTCAGTCTTTTTGAGACGTCGGATCTCGGGGGACGTCGTGCACCCGCGAAGCTTCTTCAGTATTCGGCTTCCAGGCGCCGTCCCCGGGTCGGGACCTCTCGGGACCCCGCATCGAAGCAAAATCGAGACACCGCATGTGTGGGATCGCTGCCGCCACCGCCGCCGCCGCCGGGAGCAAGGTTAGGGAGGGACTGTCCCGGCAGAGGCCCAGGCCAAAGAGGCTGCTTTGGTGCTCGGGCATTTGGCCCCGTGCCGGAGGAGGAGGAGGAGAAGGAGGCGGAGGAGGAGGAGGAGGAGGAGGAGGAGGAGGAGGAGGAGGAGCAGGAGGAGGAGGAGGAGGAGAAGGAGGCGGAGGAGGAGGAGGAGGAGGAGGAGGCGTCGAGCAGGTGGCGTCGGAAGTGGGCACGGAAGAACCCGTGTGCGGAAGGCCAACAAAGCGTCTCGTCGCGCATGCGTCTGGCACGCGCTCTCGCGCGTGCCTGGCGGCGACCAGGCCCCCCGGGGGGGGGGTCCACCCTAACCTGTGGCGGATGCTTTGTTCGCGCTCGGAGGCGGGCGGTGCGCGCGGGGCACGAAAATTGCACGTGCCCCCGGGGGGCGTCGAGCATCCAGCTTGCTCGCGACGGGCTCTTTTTACGCGTCAACGGACGTGCTCGGAGGACGGCCTGCGCGCGGGGCGCGCGCTCCGCGCGTCCGCGGGGGCGGGGGGGTATCCAACATGGTGTGGGGGGGGAGCGTCTCGCCTGAGACATCCTCACGAAATCGGCATGCTGGAGTTCAGAAAATGAGATGCTGGAGATCAGAAATCGGATGTGCAACGTAGTATGTGTGTGTGTGAAGGAGGCGTGTCGCCTGAGACATCATCACAACATGGGGATGTTGAAGGAGTTGTGTTCGACGTTGGTTCTCAAAAACAAAGCGTTCGCCTGAGACATCCTCACAAAATGGGGATGTTGGAGTTGTGGCATCGGATATCCAACATGGTGCAGGGCGAGCGTTCTGCCTGAGGCATCCTCACAACATGGGGATGTTGAAGGACTTGTTTTGCGACGTGGATTCTCAGCAGGGAAGCTATCGCATGAGACACCCTCAGTAAATTGAAATGTTCGAGATCAGGCATCGGATATCCAACATGGTGTAGGGCGGACGGCTCGCCTGAGAATCCTCACGAAATGGGGACGTTTGAGAAGCTGTTTTACGACGGTGGCTCTCAAATACGAGGTTTTCGCCTGAGACATCCTGAGAAACTTGAAATGTTGGAGATCAGGCGTCGATTATCCAACATTGGGGGGGGGCGTTTCGCCTGAGGCATCCTCACAGAATGGAAACGTTGGCTGAGTTGTTTTACGACGTTGATATCCAAAAACAAAGCTTTCGCACTCGACATCCTCAGAAGAATGACACGTTGGAGATTGGGCATCGGATCTTCAACATGGGGCATTTTGCCTGAGACATCCTCGCGCAGTGGGAATGTTGGAGGAGTCGTTTTACGACGTTGGTTCTCAGCAGTGAAGCTTTCGCAAGTGCCGCATGAGACGTCCTCAGAACATTGTATTGTCGAGCTCGAGCGTTGGGTTTCGGACTTTGTGGCGGGGCGGGGCGCTGCCGACATCCTCAGAAAAAATCGTCAGCGAGCTCCCGAATTCGACGTAGCTTCAAGAGCTTGGCTCTCGTCTGAGACATCCTCACAAAGCGAGGCGTCACCACAGAAGTCTGACAGCAGATAATTCAACTCAATTTCTTTACCGCGCTCGTGGATCCCAAGTTTTTCTCACGGAACGCATCCTTCGACAAGCCTCACACATCTCATATATCAGAAAGCATGGCGAATCTTATCGCGCTGCCACTCAAAAAGGGGGACAAGGCCTGAGTCATGAGGAAGGAGAAGGAGGAGGGAGTGGGGGAGCGGGCAGCGTGCACGCGAGCAAGGGGAGGGAGGGAGGGAGGGAGGGAGGGAGGGAGGAGGACGAGGAGGAGGAGGAGGAGGAGGAGGAGCGTGTAAACAGTTGATGCAGATGAATGCCTAACTACGTACCTGGCGGATTGGTCCTCTGACGCGCTGGCGCCCAGCCGCTGCTCCGGAGGGCTCCGTCGGCGGGGCCTGCGCTGGCTGTAAGACTGCCCCGCGCGCCCCGTTGTCTGTGCTGCCAGGGGAGCCGAGGGAGGGAGGCAGGGAGGAGAAGGAGGAGCGTGTGACCAACTCATGCGGAGAGCTCGCCTATGTTACATTTGGTCGCGATGATGCCGCAAGGTCTTGCGCAACTCTTCCCGTTCACGCGCTTCCCGCTCATGTCAGGAAAGGTGGCTCCTCGAACGCGCTGGCGCCCTCCGCTGCTCCGCGCAGCTGTCCGAGCCGCCGCTTGCCGTCGGGGACGTCGGAGGGCGCTGTCGACGGGGTCTCCGCCGGCTGAACGAGTGCGCCGCCCGTCGTGTTGTCCGTGCTGCCAGCTGCGATGGAGGTTGCGCTGCCTTCCGTGGCATCGCCGGGGGGGCCGCTCCCGGCCGACGGCATCGGCGGGGCCACCGCCGTGGCGCTGCCGAGGGCGCTGTCGTTGGCGAGCGGCGGCGGCGTGATGGGGGTGACGCCGCCTGCGGCCGGTCGCGCTGGCGGGGCGTCCACCGTCGCGGTGTCGTCGGCGCTGCTGTTCGCGAGCGGCGGCGGCGGCGGCGGCGTGACGGGGGGAGCGCCGCCCGCGGCCGGCGGCTCCGGCGGGGCGTCCGGCGCGCTGGGGTCGGGGCCGCCCGCAGCGGGCGGCGCCGGCGCGTCCACGCTGGCGCTGCCGTTGGCGCCGCCCTCGGCGAGCGGAGGCGGCGGCGCGGCCGATGGCACAGGCGGAGCGACCGCCGTCGCGCTGCCGCCTGCGCTGCTGCTGGAGCTGCCGGGAACGCTGCCGTCGGCGAGCGGCGGCGGCGCGGCCGGCGGCACAGCCGCTGCGTCCACCGTCGCGCTGCCATTGGCGCTGCCGTTGGCGCTGCCCGAGGCGCTGCCGTCGGTAAGGGGAAGCGCTGACGTGCTGGGGTCGGGGCCGCCCGCGGACGGCGGCGCAGGCGCGTCCTCCGTCGCGCTGCCGTTGACGCTGCCCTCTGCGAGCGACGGCGGCGGCGCGGCCGGCGGCATCAGCGGGGTGTTCACAGTTGCGTTGGCGCTGCCGTTGGCGCTGCCGTTGGAGCTGGCAGTGGCGCTGCCGTCGGCGAGCGGCGGCGGTGATGTCGGCGGCACAGGCGGGGCGTCCACCGTCGAATTGGCGCTGCCGTTGACGCTGCCGTTGGCGAGCGGCGGCGACGAAGCGCGCGGCGGCGCGTTGCATCCCATGCCGTGTAGAGCGCAGCAGTAGCCCAGCTTCTTCTCGTACGAGTCTAGGGTGTAATCGTCGCGCCTGCAGTTGAATTCTTCGACCAGCGTGCACGGCCACGGCTGACCATCGTCCGCTCCAGTCATGCCAGCCACGCATGTCGTCAGGCAGCCCGCCGCGCCACCATTCTTCATGTAGCAGAACCGCCCGGGGTCCTTACAACACTTTGTGGTCGAGCAATCCTCGTGCGTCTCGGAACAGACTTCCACGTCGAACGGCGGCGGCGGGGTGCTGAGGACCATGACGCTCTCATTGCCTTGGGCGTTGCTCAATGGGGGGCGGTACTTGGGGGGGCAACGAGACGTGCACCTTCCGTGCCCCTTTTGGGACACGAAAGGTGCACGTGTCTCCGCCGCACCATTGATCGCACCCCAGTGCGCAGTGCCCGATTGCCTGCCGCCGAGGGCTGGTCTGGCCAGTCCTGGGCGCCCTGGGGCAGGCTGCCGCCCTCGCAGCCCTTCTGCGCGGTCTCGCAGCAGAAGGCCCTCTGGTCCGCACTCCATGCGGCAGGCTCTCCTACTGACTATCTACCAAACCACCCTATCCCAACCAGAAGTCATCGTTGGAACGTCAACCTCTGGTGGGGGGGACAGACACTCCAGGACATTCGAATGAAACGCGATGAAACCCATACCGTACACCCCCCACTTCGATTTTTTTGTTGGTGGGGGGGGGCTGGGACCTTCAGGTTGGATTGGGGTGGTTGGGTAAGCAGTGACCTACGGTGCAGATGAACAGTGGGCAACCCACGTTGGCGTTCTCGCAGCACCAATTCTTCTGCTCTGGACTCCACTGGGAGACCGTGCTCGACGTCTTGACGTGGCAGTCGAACTCGCTGTCCCCGGCAGGCTGATCCGCCATCGGGGGGGAGGTCGTCAGGACGTAGTTGGGTGGCAGCACCCCCGGCGAGGCCCTGGTCAGGACGGCGCAGGTCCACGGCGACCGGAACTGGGGTGCGTCCGACTCGTGGACACCTGGCTGACATTCTAGCATACACTCGGCCCAGTATCTGCCGTGCTCGAAACAAGTGAAGTCCTGATCAGCGCAACACCCGATGCCCTTGCAGTTCTCGCCCTGCCTGGCGCACCCCGTGTCCTTCTCCTCGGCGGGATCCTTCGTGGTGCCGCCGAGCTCGCCGGCGACCGAGTCGTTGGCGCCTTCGACGGCCTCTGCCGCCTGGCCCCCGACCTGCTTGCCGGTTTCTGCCGCGGCACTCGACTGGTTGTAGTCATTGGTCTTGTGCCCGTCCTTGGCGCCGTCGCCAGCATCTCCTGCCGCACTGGTAACGGCATCGTTGGTCCCTTTCACGAGGTGGCCAGCGCTGATCAGCATGTCGCCAGAAGCGTTCTTTGCTGTCTTCGCGTGGTGGACGACGGCATCCTTGGCCTTGTTCACGAGGTGGCCGGCGCTGGTCAGCATCTTGCCAGAAGCGTTCTTCGCAGCGTTCTTCGCCCGCTTTACGTGGTGGCCGACGCTGTCACTGACGTCGCTTGCGGTCATGTTAAAAACGCCGCTGGCAGCATTCTTCGCCTGGTGTATGCGCTGGCCCGCGCTGTCCACTGCGTCGACGGCGGCGTCCACAGCGTTAGACCCGTGCGTCTTGGCCGCATCGGCCGTAGCCCCAGCAGCGGAGCGCACGGCATTAGCGGCGTCATGCCAGTGGTTCCACAGGGCCGAGCCCTCCTGACCACTGCGGTCGATGTCCTCGCACTCCCATGGTGTCTGGTACTGCGGCTCGTCCGAGTCGTGCACGCCCTGCTCGCAGGCGTCTAAGCACTCAGACCAGTACTCGTCCTTCCTGAAGCATCTGAGCCCCGCCGTCTTGCAGCACATCGCCTCCGAGCAGTCGGCGCCGTCCTCGCTGCAGAGCTCGTCCCTCTCCTCGTCCGTCATGGGCCTGTCGCCGACGACCTCGTCGTCCGCGCCCGCGGCGCCGAGCTCGGGCGCCGCCGTGGCATCGCCGGCGTCGGGGTCCTTGCAGCCGCAGATCATGTCGCCTCCCTTGGGTTGCAGGGCACCGCACTCCAGCTCGGACTCCACCTGGCACCCGTCCGAGTGGTGCCCGCTCGGGTCGGCCTTGGCCTCAGCGGCGTAGAAGCACTGCTGCCCGAACGACTGGCAGTACGCGCTGCAGTTCCGAAAGTTGGTCGTCAGCACCAGGGCCTGGCAGTTGCCGCAGGCCACCTCCGCGGCCGCCTGGTCGCGGTCCGGCCAGAGCAGGAGCTCCGTGCAGGTCACCTGCAGCTGGGGGGGCAGCAGCACCGCAGGCGCCTCGGCGGGGCCATGCCTGGAGGAGGCGCGGCTGCTGGCGATGAGGAGAATGGAGGAGAAGATGCCGCAGCACAGCGCGGCGACGCACCACAGGCACTCCTGCCGCAGCTTTCGCCCGTGCGGGACCACCACCTCCTCCTTGTGGTAGTCGCCGGCGCCCTCGCCCACGTACCTGTAGTCCTGCTGCGCGTACTGGCCCTGGCCCTGGCCGACGTAAACCCACTTCGTGTGCTTCTGCTCCCCCTCAGGCTCGAAGAAAATGCGCTCAAGCTGGTGGAGCCCCGCACCACTGTACGGCTCAGGATGCGGAGGCCCTGGGTGAACAACACCTCCCGCTGCTGGCAGGGGCGCGTACCTGCCGCCGCCGCCAAAAGCCTGTGAGAGGCAACGATGGGGGGGGCAGCTCAGGGGGAAGCATCGACCTGGAATCGGCGATACATCGCCGATTAATCTGCGAAAGGCCCCCGATAGGGAATCCGCACGGTGCTGGACGGGGAGGGCTAACTATCGCGCCACTATCGGCGATGAATTCGGGCGCGGCCTAACCGACCCCTAGCAAGCCATTCCCTGCTATGACGTCATCCTCGTCTTTCGAGCTCCCCTCCGACCGCATAGATACGCCTTAGGGCGAGGCGAGGGAGACATCACGAAGGGGATTGCTTGCTAGGGGTTGGTTAGGCCACCCCTGACGCATGGGCGATTGGGGTCGATGCGTCCCCCCTCTCAGCGTACAGCAGGAGCTCGACCACAAGAGATCTCCCACAGGAAACCCAACCCTGAGACTCAAGGACGCCCATTGATGGTTGGTGTGAGAACGCCACGGCTTCCATGCCAAAACCGTCCAAACGCAAGAAGGAGGAGGAGGAGGAGGCAAACGCAAGAAGCCCAGGGCACCCTGGAGGCAAGCAGGGTGCATCGCAGCACGGGCTGCCACCGCATCGGAATCTCGGATCGGGCAGGCCGACATCGATCTCGAGCCGGATCGGCATGGGCCCCGATGGGCACCAGGAGAGGGAGGAGGAAGCGGAGGAGACGGAGGAGGGGAGGAGGAGGAGGGGGAGGAGGAGGAGGAGGAGGAGGAGGAGGAGGAGGACGGAGGAGGAGAGGAGGAGGAGGAGGAGGAGGCGGAGGAGGAGGAGGCGGAGGAGGCGGGAGGAGGAGGAGGAGGGGGAGGTGGTTCTCGGCATGGGCTCCCAATGCACCCCCCCCCCGGTCACACTGCCCCTGAGCCTGGGGCTGCACCCTCTGCGCGGGAAGCCTGCCGGGCCCCGGCAGGGGCCCCGGCATCGCCATGGCGGGGGCCGCCGCCGGCGGGCGGCACGCGGCCCTCGGAGGGGGGGGGGGGGCCGCCCGCCCGCGCTCGCGCGCGCGGGCCCCGAGCGCCGGCTCACCAAACTTTGGGCTCGCCGGCCAGGGGCGGCACGCGCCCGCGGCGGGCGGGTTGTCGGGGCTGCCGAGAAACTGGAGCCGCAATGGCTGGTGCGGAGGAGGAGGAGGAGGACCACAATCTTTTGTTGGGTCGCGGGCGGACGCGGATTCGCAGTCGCCGAGCTGAGAGGGCCGGGCCACGGGCCCGTCAAAATAGCAACGCGCAAGCCTAAAAGCACAGCGGCCGAGCCCGCGCTCAGAACCTACTGCCGGTGGAGGACCAGAGTACACGTCGGTCGGAAGAGGTAGTTAAAGACATGTTAAGGAGGCGGGCGGCTCAAGTTGACTGGGTCCAGTCCTCCACAGAGAATAACAGAACACAGCGAAAGCGTGTGGATTCTTGAAGTGGGAAGGCACTTGAAGCAGACTGGGAACTGGGCATCCAAAAATACCTCCTCTCCACGACCGGCGCGCAAGCTCAAGAGGCATTGGCCCGGCACCTTGTGGTGAACTGAGCGAGCTGGGCCTTCTCGCCGAGGTTGTCTTGGATCTTGGACGCTCCGACTACCCGCCGCCTCCCCCGTCCAGGTCCAGGGGGAGGGGGGGTTGGGGGAGGGGTAACCCGCTGCCCGAAGGGGAAGAAGGCATCAGCGATGCTGTAGTACCCATCGGTCGGAAGAAGTAGGTAGAAACATGAAGTAGGAAGGCGTTGGAAGTAGATTGGGCTTCCGCCCGCCTCCTGAAGAGGAGGGAAGAAGGAAAACCACTCGACTCTTGAAGCAGGAAGGCGCTCAAAGTATAGATTGGAATCTGGGAATCCAAAATTCACCTACTTTCAACGACCGATGGGTATACGCCCACCGGTCCCGAGCCCCTCTGCGCAGGCCCCTGCAGGAAGCTCTGGCCGCTGCGCGAGGTGCCCCATACTCGCCGTCGCTCGGACGTCCATTTCCCGTGCGTTTTTCGGTTTCGTGCGTGCTTCTTTTTTCTGCTCGTTGGTCGAGGAGGGTCCTCGATGGTTCTCGCCGAGAAAAAATGCACACGTCCAAGCGATGCCAGGCATTGAAGAGCGAGCAACCCGTGGTCCTGGACTTCAAGAGGATACCCCGTGCTGACGGGGCGGCCATCCGCGCAGGGCAGCGCGGCGAGGCAGGTGGGCTCAGGAAGTCCCCACGGTGGTGTCCAGCGAGACCCCCTGCGGTGAAAGAAGCAGCAGCCCTCCATCTGGGCACGTGCTCTCCAAATTGATCGGGAATGGACAGACCCCCCTTTAGTAAAACGTGGTTTAGTGAAAACGACCTGAGGCCCAAACCTGGCGGGCACAAGCCTGGAAAATAACGGCCACGGCGCCTTCTCGAGAACCGAAAACGGACAATTCACGAATCGACGTGTCACTGTTGGGGGTTCTGTCCACACCCGAATTGAACCACAGGGTCATAAAACATCCGGACGTTCAAAGCGAGACCCGGGTTTGAAGAGGAGCAGCCCTCCATCTGTGTGAGTGCTGCGCTGCGCACTTCTAGAGTTCAGATGAAAGAGCATGTCAAACGGCAGCCCTCGTTGAAACGAAGGTACCTCCGTCAGTAGAACTGCTGAAAACACGTAGTACGAATGTGCGCGGAGACAGCGCGAGAGTCACACTTTGACAACGACGTGTGCTCCACGTGCGCACCTCTTGGAAACGTTACGACTGCGCACGGCGATGAGGCGCGCGAGCCACACGCTGTCCATGAGCCCGCCCTCCCTGCGCGAGCCTACCTGTTCCCAAACAAAATAACAAGTCCGGGCCACTGCTGGATTCGCCGAAGACGAACATGCGCAGCGGTAAAGCGACAGCTGCACTCTGAATTCGCCCTGTGCCCCATCCGTGCCAGCGCGGCGCCGAAGCGGGAAGCCGCAGTTCTGGAAAACGGCGTGGGTGCTCCACCCGTGGAGCGTGGAGCTGTGGGATTCCGTTGCAGACGCATGCCCGCGGCGCCACGGCGAGAGCCACCGGTTGACAACGGCTCCGCCCTCCATCGGCTAACTCCTCCTCCTCCTCCTCCTCCTCCTCCTCCTCCTCCTCCTCCTCCTCCTCCTCCTCCTCCTCCTCCTCCTCCTCCTCATCCTCCTCCTCCTCCTCCTCCTCCCTCCTCTCCTCCTCCTCCCTCCCCCTCCTCCTCCTCCTCCTCCTCCTCCCTCCTCCTGTGTTGGACGTTGCCGCCGAAACGAATGTGCGCGACGCTACGGCGGGAACCGAGCCTTGGAAACGACGTGTGCTCCATCCCATCCGTGCAGCTGTTGGACACGTTGGGGAGGGGTGCGCAAGGCGCCACGGCGAAGGCCACGCTCTGAAAACGACCGCCCGTCCGTGCGTGCAACAGCTTGGAGGTTCAGGCTTCGGGGTGCAGGCTACGATGCTCACCGAAAGGAGGGGCGCAGGGAGAGGGGGAGGGAGGGAGACAGGGGGGCCGAGGAAGAGGAGGAGGACGAGCGCGTCACTGAGAAAAGTCCATCCAGCGTCTGTCATGCAGCCTGTCTGAAGCCCGTCAGGTTGCCTGTAGACAAAAAACGGGGTCGCGTCTGAAAGGGAAAGCGGCCTACCAAGAGGAAGCGTGCCCGACAAAAGCGCTCAGGCTTCGCTCACGGCCACCAGGCCACCAGTCACTCCAACACAAACACAACCCGAGATGGCCCCAGGAGCGCCTTAGCAGGGCTCAAAGAGGCCCCCGGGGCAAAACAAATATACACACAAAAAAAAACAAGACGGGCTCGGAAACCGAACCCCTCCTGCGTAGGCTTGCCTAGAAGAGTGCCAGCCCAATCCATACAGAACTGCGCCCCCAACGGTTGCCCCAACCTATTACAAGGGCTTCCTCTGCTAGTGGGATGGTTCCCCTGTGACCGCAATTGTGTTGGTTGTATAGAATAGAGAAGGGTAGATGAATAGAGTGGAGCAGAGTCGAAAACCCAAAACAGCGTACGGTAACATAGGGTATCGTAGAATAGAATAGAATAGGGTATAGCAGAGTCTAGGATAATAGAGAGGGTACAATATGATAGGGTAGAGTAGAGTAGAGTAAGAATAGAGTAGAGTAGAGTAGAGTAGAGTAGAGTAGAGTAGAGTAGAGTAGAGTAGAGTAGAGTGGAGTAGACTAGACTAATGGTTCCGCCTGCTATTGCAATGGGTTCCTGTGATAATGATCACAATGGCTTCCCGCAGAGTGAAGTGGGGAACGGGAAGAGTAGATGGGCAGAGCAGAGCTGAGCAGAAGCGAGAGCAGAGTAAAGCATAGCAGATCAGAAGAGGGTCGAACAGGGCAGAGGTGGGAGAGCACCGGCGTGTGAATGGGGCGTCCTCGGACGGGGCCCTGCGCGGCTTCGCCATCGGGCGGGGGCCCTTCGACGGGAGCGCCTTCGGACGGAGCCCCGCGTGGGTTTGCCATCGGGCAGGGGCCCCGGGACGGAGCGCCCTCGGACGGAGCCCTGCGCGGGCCTGCAATCGGGCAGGGGCTCCGGGGAAGGGGGCGTCCTCGGACAGAGCCCCGCGTGGGTCTGCCTTCGGGCAGGGGGCCCTGGGAAAAGGGTGCTCAACCGCGCCAGCCGACCTCCGTGAGAGGCACTCAGGTTCTGATTTTTTTTTTACCAGCCTGGAGCATATCCCTATCCCTATGCTGGGCACCTCCCCATCACGATGCCAATCTTAGGGATCCCCTTATTTTTTTAAGGGCGAATCCCTAAGATTGTCATCGCTTTTTGGCGTGTCAATCTTCGGGATAGGGATACGTTCGAGGCCGGTAGAATCTCCCAGCGAAAAGGCGCAGCTGCTGCCGCAGCAGCGGGACACTCTCCCTGCGAAGCTGGCGACGCCGGCCGAGAGCCCGCGGCCCGCAGACGAAGCATATCGACCTGCCAAGCGCCCTCCCGGGGGCACCCACGCCGCCGCGCCGACGCCAACATCGGCCACCAGGGGGCGCGCTGGAGCCCTCAAGGCTTCCCACGGGCCCCCGCTCGGGGGCGCCCAAGATGAAGGGGCCCCAGGACACACAAGGACACACAAATAAAAAGATTCCCCATATTTTCCCACATTTTCTGGGTTTTTGTTTTCCCCCCCACTCCATATTTTCTGGGGAATCGACGATTGATTGTGTCTGTGTGTTTCTTTCCCTCCTGATGGAGCTCTCAAGGCTTCCAGCGGGCCCCCGCTCGGGGGCGCCCAAGAGGGGGGCGTCCAACAGGGGGGGAGGGGGGCGCAAATCATGGCCGGCGGCCTGTGCGCGGCCCAGCGGGGGGGTGCCAGGGACATCATGGAATAAGAGGAGGCGCCATGAAATCTGGGGAAGTAGCATGGCCCACGCCATGATATCCACCCCCCCTAGTCATCACCCCCCTCTTTGCCGTTCCCGACCCGCGGAAATCAGCGACCCTGCGCCCCCCTCGCCGGGTCCTCGGGTCGCTTGGAAGGCGCGGCGACCCCCTCGGTGGCGAACGCCGACACTTGATATCCCGCCTCGGACTCGGGCGAAAGCTAAATCGGCCAGTCGCAACGAATCCTCCAATCAAGCCACAGCGACAAGGAAGCAGCCTGCCCAGGGTCCTCCTCCACAGGAGCCACGTTCAGGGACGATGAAGAGAGACTGCAGCTGACACAATTCTGCCTCATCGGCCCCTGCGACCTCTACGCCAAGCGTGCCGTAAAACTCCGGGCCCGTGGTAAACAGTTGGCGCACGTTGGCGCCAGCTCTCCGAGGGGAGGCTAGCCGCCGCCTGCCTTGCCCGAGTTTGCCCATGCGTTCTCGCAGCGCCCGGCGGCTATAACTGCGGCATCTCAAATTCTAGACACCAGCCCATCCAGAAACGATGTCCAGGCGAGTTGAGGTGATCAGGGAAGTGCGGCAGCAAAGAGGCGGACGGCCGAACCGTGCAAAGGAGTGAGGAGG